ATATATATATATATAGATGAAAATTTTCCCGGTCGAGATTCGAACCGAGCACGTCCCGAATATGAGTCCAGGTTCTTGCCACTACGCGAACCTGCTCGGTGTAAGGTAGTGTGTAGTGAATTATAAAGGATATGGAAGGAAGCGGTCATTGCCTAATTTAAGGCACGTACCTCAATATTTGCCTGGAGGGACTGAGGAAACGATCGAAACCTCAGTAACATAGTCGGTGTCCTGACCGAGGTTCGAACTCGGCATCTCCTGAGTACAAGTAAGATGCGTTACTTGCTCCCTCCTTTCCTATGCAGGGATGTACGATAACCGCTTGTCATGTTCTCATTTTCCGAAAATAATTAATTGTTAAAATATAGACTATTAGGAGTTTAATTGTTATTTTGCCTGTCACGGTAGCCGAGAGGGGTCTAAGGCATGCTCTGTCTTCGCTCTCTTGGAAGCCGGGATCGTGGGTTCGAATCCCACACAAGGCAATGGCCACTTACATATCGTAACTACAAGTAACTATATCACTATAGCTAACATCCAACTTTAGGAATCACTACAGCACACACTAAGCCTTTTCAGTCTGCATTCACTTGTCTTTTCCCGGCAACGGATCTTAAAAATGACAGTTCTTCAGCTCCTGTGCTCACGTCGTTACTGTCCGGCGAATATCCCACAACTGCTCCAAATGACTGACTCCCAGGCTGGCGGCCATCTCACACCAGCCTCATAATCTTCGCTTCGCAGGCTTCAACTGACTAACTACTAAACTTGTATCGGTTATGAAATCTCGGCACGGATCGCGTAGAAAACACCGTTCCCAACAGTTTCTTTATTGTTGCGCATAAACTCGTTCCCACGGGAACCTGTTTGTTTCGCGATCGTTGCCTAGTAACGGTTCTACACGCTACAGTATGCTGCGTGGAGTATTAATTTATACGCAATCATAATAATCACCATCCTCATCATCATCAGCATCATCGTCTATTTCAGTGTAGCATTTTATTAGCTTGTTCCTTCTGAGAAACTAACCTATCCTCTCGTTCGTCCAACATTTTTCGTCCGTTTGGTTGGCAATTCTTATAACCTTTTGGGTCAGTCTTCAAGGATCAATTCTTAAGACATGATTGTGTTTTTGTAGTCCTTGATTCTTACTTGAAAAGCATACTGTCACCCTTAGGGGTGACTTATAAGACAGGTTTTTGGATTTGATTATTGGTTTTAATGCACCGCTTTCACACAACGCGGGACTACAGGCAGTCACAGCGCTATCGCTATGCTACACACTTTCAGTTCACCGTTTCACACGCACTAGATTTTTCAGTCTTCACTGGTCGTCTCCTGGCAACGGATTTATCGCAGTCTCACTGTAACTTCAAATCACACATGAAATCTTCTTATCACAGCCTAATTCCTCTCTTGCTATTATTCTGCAGCTACCAATTCCAAAGTCTCGACTCTACTACTCTCGACTACTGTTCTATGCTCCTACTACTTCTTTGTCCGTGTATTAGCCCCCGGCACGGACCCCACGGAAAACACCGTCTACTGTTTTTAAGGATGCGTGTAACTGGGCCGTTACGTATCAACGGACGTCCTTCTGTTGCATGTGTACGCTTCGTGGGAATGTGTTCACCGAGTCGTTGCCTAGCAATGGGTCTAAACGTCACAGTATATACGTAACTGGATGGGTATTGTCGGATTGCGCATATGGTCTATACGTGTATATCGAGGGACACGCCTTAAGATGCGCATTTCTGTTGTTTCAATTTTCCTCCTCTCATATCTGTTCAAACCCCACTTCTCATCTCCATACATAAGCAGAGGAGCTGTTACTACCACATAAAATTTAATCTGTGCCTTTCCTTGCGTGGACCGCCTCTGTGGTCTAGTGGTCAGAGCTCCTGTCTACAGATTCAGAGATCCCGGGTTCGATTCCCGGCGCTACCACATTTTCTGAGAAGTAGAACGGGGTCCACTCAGTCTCGTGAGGATAATTGAGAATCTACTTGAATGGAAAAGTAGCGGCTCCGGTCTAGAAAAGTGAGATTAACAGCCGCGGGGAACCGTTGCGCTGACCACGCGACACCCTCTATCCGCGAAAGTTGGCAGTAACTTCGCCGACAAGCGGCGGTCGCTCGGCCAGTATTGTTCACTTGCGGACTAAAAGCCACGAAGTTTTCTTTATCCTTTCCTTGCGTGACGCTGGTAGCGTAACCAGGCAAGATTATATTACCCACAATTCTCAGAGACGGCAGTTGNCGGACTAAAAGCCACGAAGTTTTCTTTATCCTTTCCTTGCGTGACGTTGGTAGCGTAACCAGAGACGGCAGTTTACACAAAGACAAACAGCATACCTGTGTTTCCGTGAGCTTGAGGGTCTTTGAGAGTTGTAGCCGTTTGGCGACAGACAGATACTTGTTCTTCTCGAATTCAGATTCCAGCGACTTGATTTGTGCCGCCGTGAAGGCCGTGCGCGGCCGCTTCTTGCGCTCATCATGACCCGAACTCGACGAAGAGGAACTGTTGTTACCGCCACTGCACGTGTCCGAGTCGGTCGAGCTCCTGCACGCTCGGCTCGCGCTCCGAGGGCACTCTGCAACATGGCAAGTTACGGTCAGTGGCGTACATACTCCTTCGGACAAACAATGTAATGTGTCATGATGTACAATCCTATTCATGGGGTATGAAAATTCCCACTCCTGAGGGGGATATTCGAGCCCGCCTCTGTGGTCTAGTGGTCAGAGTTCCTGGCTACAGATTCAGAGGTCACGGGTTCGATTCCCGATACCAGATTTTCTGAGAAGTAGTGGGTCTGAAACGGGGTCCACTCAGCCCCGTGAGGATAATCTAGGAGCTACTTGAATGGAAAAGTAGCGGTTCCGGTCTGGAAAACCGAAATTAATGGCCGTGGGGATTCGTTGCGCTGATCATGCAACACCTCACCGATAAGCGGCGGTCCCTCGGTCGGTATAGTTCGCTTGCGGACTACAGGCCACGGAGTTTTTTTTAGCGGGATATTCGATTTGGATGCGTCCCTTACACTACAGTTAAGTTTATTACGTAGATCGTCTAAGCCCCAACATTCGGGATGGATACATGGCTCGCCGAAAGGTTTTACAATTTATTTTAACAGCGTTTCTTCTGTTGCTTAGCGTCTAATGTGTGACTGAATGTGAATGATAAATTGGGAGTCGTGTGGAAGAAAGAATTCAGTTTTGTATTATTTACGTGCCGAGCCAACACCTACTGGGCAGTTACAGACACAGCGCAGTGTAGATACGGGTAATTATGTTATGGACAAACAACATAAAATAAAAGACTAATTAAAGGTAAGCACTGGAAGAAAAACACATTAATGCAGAAAAGTAGACAAACAAACGAATAATAATAACAATAATAACCATTGGAAATGTACTTATTTTATTTTTTTCTCCTGTTAACGCTAACTTTATTTCTTCTTGCAATTATTATTAATTTATTGCCATTATATAGACTGTC